TTAGTCCATTTCCACGCATAATTAGTCTCGTAGACGATCGTGTGCCCTTCATAGGGCTTTTACCCCTCTTCTTCTTAGATGCTACGTCCTTCATGGGAGTGACATAAGAGACATCCCCATTCGCATCCCCAGTACCTTGATTTTTCTTCTTCAACAAGCCCCACTGGATTTTTTTCGCCTTAAGCTTCTCCATAAGATTGTTAAAAACGACCCCTATGGGAAGGTCGAAGTCCATGCCGCTATCAAACACCATAGAACTCACGACTTCTTCAACTGCCTTGTTATCATCGTTCAGCAAAGGACTTGGTGCATAATCCTAACCTTCGTCAGCATGATCATCATTTGCCTCTAAGAAGCCTAGCTTAACCTTGGATAGGTGAAGGAGCAAAGGCTGCTCCTCCTGATAATAGAGAGTGGGGTAGCATCCTTTGAGTCCAAAGTAGCCAGAGCTAGATTTCCATCTTTCGGAAGATTGTTCTCCTCAGTAGAGGACACCACAGGTTCTACATTCTTGTTTGCCTCCATTTCCTCAATTGGTTCGACATCCTCTTCTATAACTACCATGGCTAAAGGGTTAATCGCAATTGGATCAAAAGGCAGCTGCTGAGAGACGCGCTTCTTCCTGACAACCTTGAGAAAACACAATGGATACATCGCAGTGAGAAGAGCAAATACTACCTGAGATGGCACTTCCTGTCTCTATCTCTCTCTCAAAAGAACTTCCCCTTTGCTGGACTTCCCGATGAAATTCTCTCGCTCTAAGCTGTAGTAAGGGAGATAAGGAAAATCTTTAGATAGTGCACCTTCACCGCCTCTTATCGCCAATGACAAGAAAGCCCAATTGCATAGTACTGTCGAGTACAGCAAGCCCGATAAACCCGCAACTTTATCCTGACAGCTCGATGACCCTTCCACTCCCTCATCATCAATCCCACCGACTTTACATCCTCTTTCCTTCATGACTTTATTCGGTAGCCCCTAACATACCTTACTTGGACCCTCAGCAGACCTCCGTAGACTTTCAGGCCCGTAGACTTTCAGGCCAGTCAACATCCGTTGGATGTAACGCAGGCATAAAAGGCGCTAAATGTCCAGTTGGGATCCACTGTTTCTTAACTTTTAAAATTTGAAATTTTCTTGTAGAGTGCTTAAACTTTGGGGGCCGTTCCAACCTAAACTGATTGGAAACTGAGTTTTCCAACGTAGATCTACGACGCCTAACCACTTCTTGCCATCCATTTTCACCATTGAGCTCAGTAGCAATGTGCTGAGCTTTTTTAATAATGGCGCCTTCTACCCTGGCTTCTAGAACTACTGTAATAGCGAAACACTCCTTCCCCACTTTTAAAGTTAAACATTTAGGAATGATGGATCCCTCTAGTTTCCAAATACATACCCTCACAGATCGAAGATCAACTCTAGAAAAAGCCAACTTCTTTACGTCACAAAATTCTCCGCATTTGTTAGTACGAAGACAGAAAGTAGAGATGGACCACGCATTAATAGGAATACCAAGAAACCTAACCCAAGCAGTACTTTTACTAAGATATGATTGATGTGAATGGGTGTCCAAAGATCCAAAGACAACAACTTCCCTCTAACCCGAACAAACCTGTTTATCAACATTGAAGTAGCATCTTTCTTTGAAAGAAGAAAAAAAATGATCTTATTATCACCCAAAATTTTGACTTTAAGTGTATAAGACAAACTCTAGCTTCTCCTAGCCCAATCGGAAAGCCCAAAAATATCTGTTAAGGGGGGGGAGAAGGATCCCATTGTTGGGAATGTTGCCTCTGATAAAAGACCACTTGTCAAATCAAAGCCAATGCTAACCATGGGCATGCCATCACCCTCAACATCCTCCTCTACCTCCACCTCTCTTTTCTACCTTAAACAATCCTATATAAGGTTGCAACCTTAAAATGTAGAATCACAAATACACCTCAAAAATCCATCGGAAAAGGTTGTTTTAATGTTTTTCAACCCTCTAATTGATCATCTTGACATGGCGATATATGAATATTAAAAAAAAAATTATTTGGAGTTCTAAAAATAGTGCATCTTGCAACACATTATCTAGACCGTCCATTTTCAATATTTTCATATGTTAATAGATCTACTTGATTCTAACCATTTTTGGATTTTATAATTAGATATAAAAATAGATTTTGAGATAATCCTATAAGTGTTTTACACCAAAATTGCATGTTATGATGAAATTTGGGTGTGCCCTTTAATTGGATTGTTTAAGGTTGCAACGTTATAGAAACCACACCTTTTTTTAATAGTTTTGACCCCAACTTTGTAATGGTTTTGAATAACATTTATGATGGCTTTAAGAGCTTTCAAGTATCATAAAAACTTAATAATGCAATGCTATTCATGCATGTCACGTTTCAGTTCATGATTGCATTACCTAGTGCTATGCTATTCATATATGACCACTACCATGTAATTTTTTAAAATTTGAAATTTGAAATTTAAATTTTCAATATATCTTGGTCTAATTAAGGGTGAGGACTTTAAACTTTCTTTTAACCTGTCCCAAGCTTGTAAAGGAGGTAAGTTGCGTTAGGTAGACAGCCAGCGTAAAACTTTCCCACATCTTATCATGAATCCTAAACCTATGTTAGAGAAGAATAGAGAAACATGATACATGCAGTCAAACCACAAGTATTTGGGATTAGACTTGGATGATGATGAAACTTTCAATATATCCCAAATAAAGTATGTTGTCTCTATGACAAACAGTGAAAATCTATTTTAGATCACTTGTATTTTTAAATTCAAAATTTTTAAAACATTATAATTTCATTATTATTATTTATTTAGATCTTTAAAAATATGAATGTTTTGTTATTTTCATATATTTACATGTTTTAGAAATAGTTTACAAACAATTTTTAAATGTCAAACTGCAAATTTCTATTGGGAAAAGTTTTTATAAGGTTGCAACCTTAAAATGTAGAATCACAAATGCACCACAAAAATATATCGGAAATGTTGTTTTAATGTTGAAAAGACACTCTAGTCAATCATCTCGACATTGAGATGTATGAATATGAAAAAAAAAAAATTTTGACCCGGAAATAGTGCATCTTGCAACAATTATCTAGACCGTCTATTTTCAAGATTTTCATATATTTATAAATCTAATTGATTTTAACCATTTTTGGAATTTAAAATTTTCTAATTAGGTATGAAACTAGATTTTACGATAATACTAAGAATTTTTTACAACAAAATTAATTACATGTTATGATAAAATTTTAAGGTGTGCCTTAATTGGATTGTTTAAGGTTACAACCTTATAGAAACCGCACCCATTTCTATATAGCCTAAATGCTTCACAACTCTAATACTTTCTCCTATGTTTTTGGAATTTAAAATGAGTAATGAATATTTTAAATTCTATATAACATTAGACAAATATGTTAAAAAATGTATAATAATACCTTTTATCTCAAAATGCTTTGTTAGTCTTGCATCTTCTTTTGCATTTAAACTTATAAGCCACATGGATCCATTAGTTCTACCAGGAGCAAGTGGTCTTTTTGTATACTTCAACTCGTTATTGTATATTATCATGTAATAGTCTATGTGTGCAGAAGGGATAATGCTTTGGTTGTTTTTGAGTTGGTGAGACTTGGGCTCAAGGATATGAGTGGAATAGGTTTCCTTGCTTCAAGTGGTCAACGAGTTTTCCAAGCTTCTGAATGGAGTAGGGTCATTGATTTTTACTATTTGTTTGTATCCACGGAGTTTTGGTGGTTGATCTTGCTTTGAAGTAGGGCTTCTCACCCTATTTTTTCTCTTTATAATTGTAATTTTGGACTTTATCTCCTTATATTTTTTTTCTTTGTAATTGTAATTTTGGAGTTTATCTCCTTATATAAATGAATACTTCTCAACTTATTTCAACAAAAAGAAAAGCGTAAGCACCTTATATAAACCTGACCATTTGAAATTTTGAAGTTTTTGATCGTAGAATACCTTTAGAAGTTCAAAAATGACCTGACCATTTGAAAATTTGAAGTTTTTGATCGTAGAATACCTTTAGAAGTTCAAAAATGACTTCTATTGTAGCTTGTGCACGAGGCTTTTAATCCATCCAAACTTAACATCAAAATAACAAACATCCTAATTGATTTTGCGGAAATAGATTTGAGTTTTAGAAGGATCTTAAAATTATATAAAAGGCGAGGTTCGTACAAAGCATCAACCTTAAAGAATCAAAGGCGCATCTCAAATTATGTCCAAAGATGCAATTTCGGTGCTTGAAAGCCTTTTAATAACATGGAAACCTTTTGTCATTCCTAACCATAAAATTTAAAGCTTCACATATAGTGCAGATCTAGCAGTATCTATAAACCCAGATCGTCCAAGTGGATCGACCTCCTATGGACATTCCATATCGGCCAAATCAGGCACATCTGGATCCAGCGAATCGTCGATCCAACTGGAAAAACAAAGATACAAAAATTGGGGAAAAAAAAAGGTGCACGAAATTATAGGGAATTTGTTTGGTGGAAGATTTAAGAGTTTAAATCATCAAAAGAAAATATATAAAACATGGAGATTTGGTTTAGGGATATTATGATTGATTCCATGAAAGAATTAGCCCGTTCACCCTGCCATTCCGATCTGTCGACCTATAACTCCAATTCGGGATACAGCTAAGGGCATGAGTGCCTTGCGACCCATGTGTGAAACACAAGGGATTTGGGGAGCTCATAGCCAAGGGACGGACCTACGCCACCTGCCCTTGTTCATTTAGTTGGCCTCCCCATTGTTAGAAAAAATTTGTTCACCATAGATGGAAATCTAGGGAAACATTGGTGTGAAGCTGCTTATCTTTACAATACTCTAACTAGAACCTACCCTCTCTCCACTTCAAATCTCCACAAATTCACTATTACTTGACACAATTTGAGCCTATGCCCCTGGTTCATTTTGGTACTTATTACACCAGATATCTTCCAATCCACCAGTGGCATTCAGAATTGAAAAGGATTTTCCCATTTGTTCACAACAAACTCACAACCTGATACATTTCCAAATTTTAAAACTATACCATGTTCAAAGATACAGAGGTACCCACAATATTACCCTCAAGAAACAGAAAGTATCTCCAACCACTGAAAAACCTTCCCCATAATACAAACACAAAGTGCCCAATAAACTAACCACTGTGCAGAGAAGCTTGAACAAATCATTGGGAGTCAATTTCCCTGTTCCAGTAGTTACAATCTGCTAAATTACATCAAGTATTGGGATCTGAAATTGGTTGCCTTGCCCTCGTATATCAAAACATTGGATGAAACACAAAACCTATAGATCTTAATCGAACACTTGTTTTCTTAGTGCGGAACTTTTAACTTCTCCACACTTGTTTTCTTAGTGTGGACGCTTAGCTTAAGTGTCCTGCCTCAGTTCCAGAATGAGCAGCTCCTCTTAACTCTTTATCATCCAAGATAAACTCGGAGCTCTCATCTGTACCTGATAATCCTTCTGCATAACCTGCACTCTTCTGATTCTCTGGGTTGAAAAGCTCATGGTTCTCCAAGTTTGCAAACTTCTCTTTTGCCTCCCCTTTGAGATAGTCAACTGCCTCAAGCATCGTAGGTCTCTTCTCAGACCCACTTTGAGCACAAAGAAGTGCAACAAGCACCAACCGTCTCAATTCTTCCTCTTTGTATTTGCCATTGAGCTTGTGATCCACTATCTCGTGGAACCTTCTCTCTCGAGCCAATGGAAGAGCCCAATCCACAATGGTGCGCTTCATTGAAGCTCCCAGTTTCTCAATTGGTTTCTTTCCACTAGCAAGCTCAAGTAAAAGAATGCCAAAGCTATAAACATCACAACTCTCTGATGCCTTCCCAAACATGGCATATTCAGGGGCAAGGTAGCCAAGAGTGCCTTTTACTCGTGTTGTAACATGGGTAGCGCCATCAGGGATCAGTTTGGCAAAGCCAAAATCGGCAACCTGTGCTTCGAAATTTGAATCTAGCAGCACATTACTGGCCTTAATATCCCTGTGAATTATATGGGGTGTCGCATGGTGGTGAAGATATCTGAAAAATATGATTAATTAGATTAAAAGTTCAGGTAACGTAAGAGTAAATTATATTTTAATCCAATGTGCTACGGAACAATCATAATGAATTGGGTCATCACTGTCGATTGAAGTGATTGACAGTGATGCTCAGGGTAGGACTCCCAGAATGCACTTCAATGAAGGCATTGCAGTCTGACCATCCTTATTTATCACTTCAATGGATGAATGATCAACTAATAGACTCTCCCAATAGTCAGTTGGGTTTTTCTATACTTTGCGTGATGTATAAGGTTCTCTAGTAACATACACAATTCCCTCTGCTGCTCCTATTGCAATCTGCATTCTCTTGTGCCAGTCAAGAAGGCCTTCGGCTGAATGTTGGCCATGAAGATGTGAGAGTAAGCTCAGATTGGGCATGTAATCGTAAACAATAAGTCGTTCCTGTCCTTCTGCACAATAGCCTCGTAAGCTGAGCAAGTTTTTGTGCCGGACTCTACCCAAGATCTCAACCTCAACTGCAAATTCCATGTCAGCTTTGGTGCTCCAGACCTTCAGCCTTTTTACAGCAATCTGCACAGAACATAATCCACTGACAGTGAATGGAAAATCACCAAATTGAAGGACATAAAAAAAATTGAAGGGCAACAGACATTGTTACATTCTAATGAGGAAATGGATAAAATGTACGTAAATGGAAATTCCACTACAGGGTGGTGAGAGTCAAGTTAGGAGTGTGTAAGAGCCAGAGGAGTATAATATAACGGCCGCCACAGCCTCTCGCCTCATGGAAGAGAGAAGGTGCAACTAGACCTCTAGTTGCATACATCTTTTTGTAACATGTTAAAGTCTTGGTCCTGAAAATTTACTTTAGTTTACGATAGTAATACATAGGGCAGGTACCTCCAAGCCATTCTAGCCAAGAAAAAGCAATTACTTGAAGCAAAATGAGGAATAATGAAAACTCTTCTGATTTACTTTCACAAATCTAAGAATAAAGCAATTTCAAAGGTATACCTGAATAGGGTGAACCACATTACCCACTGGATTGAAGCAATTAATGTTGCACCATAAGATGTAGACTGCAATCTCATGGTCCCAAACAAAAATAAAGAAAATGAACATGATTCATCTGCAGAACATTGAGGCATAATTCGAAAAAAGCCAGCACGCACATTTGAGCATAAGGTTCCCAAAACCAGTTACAAGATATGGCGACTCTCCTAATGTAGGCAGGTCCTAATAAGGTCTGGTGCTAGCCCTTGGATATGACACATTCCAAGGAAAACTAATAAGGTCATCCACATGTTATAAATCTAACTTGTGGAGTTGGACGTTGGAACAAATTTTTTATTTGGATAATATTTTTTTTTTATGAAGTTAACTGTTGCATTAAAAGGAAAGAATAGCACAAAATTGAGTCTCTGAGGAGTGGAGACTCTGTCCAGTAAAAAAAATGGTAGCCCACTGAGTGGGAGCACCATGCAAAGGCGTCCAATGGTGTAAAGAAAAGAGGGATGAAGTGCCAAAGACTGCTCAGAAATATAGACTGAGCTTGCAAGAAATTCTCAGTCACTGACATTTATAGTGCCCACCTTTGCAAGTGTATCACACATATGAGTTACTTTCTCGCCATATGTGCCTCACTATCCCACTGAGTGGGAGCACTATACAGAGGCATCCAATGGTGTAAAGAAAACAGCAAAGAGGGAAGAAGTGCCAAAAACTGCTCAGAAATATAGACTGAGCTTGCAAGAAATTCTCAGTCACTGACGTTTATAGTGCCTTTGCAACTGTAATTTCTTCAAAGATCGAGGCTAGGGACAAGATCCAGAGCCCGAGGCCCAGGTAAGGACATTGCTAGAGTCACCTTCTGCTATCAATCCTGTGCCCCATGAGGGATCGAAAAGTTTAAGGCCTTCAAGAAGAGCAAGAACCTCAGCAGTTTGGGAATCTGAGTGGCTGATGTGTTTAGAGGAGGAGGATAGACAGTTCCTTCATGATTCTTGAATAGGCCACCAATGCCGGCAGGACCAGGGTTGCCTAGGGAGCAACCATCAAAGTCCAATTTGACCAAGCCAGGTTCAGGTGGATGCCACATTGAAGCACGGGGAATTTGATGCCGGCTAAGTTAGAGCATGGCCACCCAATCCATGTGAAAGGCAGAGGGGAGGAAGCCCTTAAAGGTCTTGTGATTGAAAGACCAAAAGATTGCAGCCAACTTGATCTTCTCGAATAAGGCTGGTGGGAAGGAACTCTCTCCACGGAATATTCGTCGGTTGCATTCAATCCAAATGGTCCAAAGCAGAGTCGCTACTGCCGCTTTCCAGAGTAGGATACCTGATTTGGGCCAGGGGAGATGGGAGAGAGAGGAAAAACGTTGGGGGATTGTGCTGGGGGTTACCCATTGCCACTGAAACAATTAAAGGAGGGCTCCCCACAGACAGAATGCAATAGGACATAGGATGAACAAATGGACATTGGTCTCTTTGGAAGCCTTACAGCTGACACAACGGTTAGGTAATGGCAAACCCCTTCTCTGGAGTTGATCGACTGTGAGGACTCTCTCGAAGAGGGCCAGCCAGTTGAAAATCTTGATTTTGGGGGGAGCAAAGGAGTTCCAGGACTTGGCCATAGTAGATGTGGAGGCATGCGGAAAGGTAGGGGGATCGAGGAGCTTTTTATAGAAGGAGAGTGAAAAGGTTCCTGAAGGAGATGGGCACCAAATGATGCTATCTTCGCTGTGTGGAGGAAGGAAAGAAGAGCGAAGGAGGGATCAGATTGAGGTCTTCTGAAGGTTGGGCTCCAGGCTCTAGCTGACCCAATAGTAGGGAATTGGTCTTCAATGGTGGCTTGTTGGTTGAGGGCAAATACGAAAAGGGATGGGAATTGATCCTTGAGGGGGGGTTTGGCCTATCCACAGGTCATACCAGAAGCTCAACCGAGACCCCTTCTAGGGTGGAGTCTAGTGTTTCTTTTGAAAAGGTGAAGAATGGAGAGAAGAGTCCTCCAGATGCCCACGGATGTACTATTGGCTCAGCAATTGGGCAGCCAAGAATCAGAGTGGAGGCGATATTTGTTATGCAATACTGCCTTTCAAAGGTGGTTATCATGGGTGGCATACAGCCACCATCACTTCGCAAGCAAAGCAAAATTGACGTATTTGAGGCGACAAATGCCTAGACCAACTATGGAGCGAGGGAGACAAATTTTGTCCCAGGAGATAAGGTGATATTTGTGCTTATTGTCATCACTGGCCCACAAGAAGTTTTGCATAAGCTGCGCGAGTCGAGATCCAACTGAGGCCAGCATAAGGAAGAGGGACATTTGATATAAGGGCACGTTGGATAGAATTGCCTTAATAAGGGTAGCTCTACCAGCCGAGAAGAGAGACCGACCCTTCCAAGCAGCGAATGTTTGGTCAAACTTATCGATAAGGTGAGCCCACTGACTGAGCTTAGGCTTCCCAGGGTAGAGTGGAAGTCCAAGGTAGGTTGAGGTGAGGTTATCGGCTAAACTACCCCATCTTTCAGTCAACTCCTGAATGATGTGGGGGTCGAGAGCCAACCCCATCATCTTAGACTTGTCCATGTTCCCTCTGAACCCTGTTGCCCACTTGAAACATTTGAGAAATTGTGGGTGTCAACTTCCTGGGCATTGGCATTGCAGAAGACAAGGTAGTCGTCTGCGTATTGAATAGAAGGGCTCGTTGATGAGAATGGTAAAATGGACATTGAAAATGCAGCCATGAATCCACTTTCACCATCGGAGGCCAAAGCCCATCCTAGCAAGGGTTCGCCTAGGATTGACCAGTCTACACGGTCGTAAGCCTTCTCCCCATCTAGCTTGATAACCAAGCCCGGGGATTTGGAAAGTTGCCCCGAATGGATGCATTCGTGGGCGACAAATGCACTATCAAGGATTTGACGATCCTTGACAAAGGCTCCTTGTTGAGGGGAGATGACTAATCTTAGCACTTCTCTTAGGCGGAGGGTAGAACTTTAGAGAGGATTTTGTAAATGCTGTTGATTAGGCTAATGGACCTGAAATCTTTGAGTTCCTCAGCCCCTTCGCTCTTAGGGACAAAGGTGATGAAGGCGGCATTGAGAGCCTTATGGCGAATGCCCCAGTTGAAATTCAGTGAAAAAGTCAAGAAAATCAACCTGCAGAGAGGGCCAAAAGGACTTGACAATTGCTATAGGGAAGCCATCAGGCCAGGAGCCCGGTCTTGAACAAGGTCGTGGATGGCCTTAAGGATTTCGTCCTCTGAGAAAGGATGTTCGATCCAAGCTGCCTTCTCAAGAGGGAAGGAAAGATCCTCCAAAGAGGGTTTAGGTCTGAAGCGGCCTAGAAAAGAAGCTTGAAGAAGTCGATAATAGCCCCTTCCACCTCGGAAGGCTGTTCCAGATATTTGAGCTCAATCCTGATAGGAGTTATAAAATTGTCTTGGCTTCTGCAATTGGCTATCTTGTGGAAGAAGGAAGTGTTGAGGTCCCCTAGCTTGAGCCACCCAACATGAGATCGTTAATACCAGTAGGTTTCTTCTTGCTTGAGGATGGTTTGGAAAGTCGAACTAAAGTTGTGCCTTGCTTTGTCTCTCCATGTCAGTGAAGGGTCTACGTTCTTCAAGTGAGTCCCACCCCGGAGTGAAAATTACCTAGGAGCTGCTTCCTCCATTCGATTAGCGAGTGTTTATGCAGTTGGATTTTTCATTGGAACAGGAAGCCGACTCTGCCCGAGACTAGAAGGAACTCCGCCAAAGAGGGACCAAATGGAGAAAATTCGGCTCATCGGGCCAAAGTAGCTCAAAATAAAAGGGTTTATGCAATACAGGTTGGGTGTCAAGAAGGATGGGGCAATGGTCTGATGTAGGTTTGGGTAGTGCAAAAGCATGGGATACTGGGAATGTGGCATCCCAATCAGCACTAAACAAAAACCTGTCAAGTCTGGATAGGGATGGGGAGGCTGAATGATTGGACCAAGTATACTGAGCCCCTTCTAATGGGATGTCAATCAGGTCATGGCAAGATGAAGTCAGAAAACTGAGACATGGTCGTGGTAACTTTGGAAAGAGAGTTCCTTTCAAAGGACCATCTCATTACACTGAAGTCCCCTCCAAGGCACCACCTAGAGGAGGGGAGAAAGACAACATAGTCTAATTCAGTCCAAAAAGCATCCCTTAGACTATCTGAGTTTGGGCCGTAGATTGCCGAAAACTGAATACTATACCATCTGAGAGTCTTGACACTAAAACTGTCACCAAGAGAGTAGTACAAGAGAGGAGGGGAGAAAAAAGAGAGGGGCCCCATAAAATCCATATGCCACTCGAAGCCCCTTTTGCCAGTCTAGCAGCCCACTGACATGGCCTTCGACCCCATACTTCTCTAACAGCGTAGAGGGTGGGAGAAGGTTGTTTAGTTTCTGTCAAGGCGAGGATGAAGGGGAAGTAACGGCTGATGATATCGCACACCACATTGCGCTTTGACAGAAGCTCGAGGCCTTGGACATTCCAGTAGAGGATTAACATGACGGACCTGGGAAGAGGGTAGTGCGCTTGAAAGAGCGACGAAGAG